CCGTCTCGACCTGTAAGGGAAGGGTCCCGGGGTCCGCCCCGGCAGGACTCTGCCCCTGAGAGGCGGGGCCCCCTACACCGTCTGAGATTGACCCTCCTCTTAGGAGGGTTAGGAGACTTCGGGCGGTTTGAGGAAGCAGCTCCAGAGCCTCAGATCCCGGCCGGGCGGGAGGGCAGGGATCGCCGCTGGGTGTAATGCGCTGACCCGAGGGCCATTCATTTCTGGGATTCCAGACATAACAGCAGGAAGGGAGGCGAGGGCCTGGAACAATCTGTGAAATGGGCTGGGGACTCTTGGAGGCCCCAGGCGGCCACCCCACGCGCCCTGAGCTCAGCGTGGAGTCTGTGCCTCCGCCACTCTTGCTGGGAACCGCCGGGACCCGCCCCATACCCTCCTCCGCCCCGCCCCGAGGCGGAGCGATCCGTGGCTCCGCCCCCTGGAGGACACTTCCGGCGCGACGGACCTCCGGGCAGGGTGTGCAGTTGCCTACGGGCCATCCCTGCAGTTTCCGACGCGCGACCCATGAGTGCGGCGCCCCTGGTGGGCTACAGCTGCAGTGGCTCGGAGGATGAGACCGAGGCCGGGACGCGGACCAGGCCGGAGGCTGGGGGCCGCCGCGGGTGAGGAGCGAAGAAGGCTCTTTCAGGAGGGTGCGGATTCGCAAGAGATCCCGACCGGACCCGAGCGTGTTGGAGGGAGGATGTGGGGCGGTTCCTGGAGAAGGAAGAAGGGGCGCAGGGGAGAGGAGTATCCAAAGGACACTCCCTGGATAAAGCCCCAGATTGTCCTCGCCTGTCTAGGAAGAGTTGTGAGGCAGGAAACAGGTTCGGGTCCAGCCCTCGCCGCTAGCGCGCTCGATCTCCTGGCGCGCGTCACTGTACCATCCTAGGTCTGTTTCCTCATTGGTTGCAATTGCAGTAATAATGGCTAAAGTGTATGGAGAGCTTCTTCGTTCACCCAGTAACTATTGGATGAATAACTATTCATTGAGCCCCCATGGCACGCAGGCCTATTAGGACTGGAGACTCAAAAGTGAACAAAACCATCACACCTTAGAAGCCTCTTACTTAGTGGGACATAGATTCGTAAATACCAGGCATTGAGCTGGTTGAGTGCTTTACAAACAGTATCTCAGCTCATCTCACAAATAGCCATCAGGATGAGTCTGTGGGGACTTCAGAAAGTTTGTGAAATGATGGAATTAAAGGGCGAGTTTTTTTTAGTGCCAAAAATTGTTTTGAAATCCATGCATAGCTTTTTCCTTTTTTTTTTTTTTTTTTGGAAAGGTTTTTGCTATAGGGCGCGTGCACTTGCCAGAAAGACAGAGAGACAGAAAGCGCGCTACAATCTTGGGATCTTAGGCACGCCTGCACACGTGCCCGGGGTTAGTTTAAACCACCGGGTCCAGGACTATGGGAGTCTAGCAACATAGCCATTATGCCAACTGCCGGTCCCCATGCATAGCTTTTTTATAGGCTACACATGGCCCATGAACTTTCTGAAGAGTGTGTAGTTTACAGATGAGGAAACAGAGGCCCAGAAAAGTGGCATGACTTGGCCAAAATCACTGAGGTAGGAAGTGCTACTCCAGCTCTGTGTAGGATACTCGATCTTTGACCCATATATTACTGTCTGCCCATTTCCTGTGGGGACCCTGTGCCCTGTTGAGGTCCACCTCCCAGAGTTGTTGGGAGGCCCCAGTGACACACCACTAGAGAAAGAAATTCGTGGCAGCTTGCAGCATCTGTTACACACGCAGTCACCAGGTATGAGGGGTTACACCTTCATTGGATGTGCAAATGTAGAGGATGCAAGGAGGATAAATGTGCTTGTTTTCTTTTCTTTCTTGCAGTGGCCAAAGCCCTCCTTGTGGTCAGAGGTTTCCCGTACCTGATAGTGTGCTGAACATGTTCCCAAGCACTGAGGAGGGGCCTGAGGATGACAGTGCAAAACATGGGGGACGAGTGCGCACCTTCCCCCATGAGCGGGGCAACTGGGCTACCCATGTGTACATACCGTGTAAGTAATGTATGAAGACAAGTGGCTGAGATCAGTAGATCCCTCTTATGGAGAGGAACCTGACCCCAGCGAGGAGGGAGAAATCAGAGACTTCTAACACTGGTGGCGAGAAAGATACTGACTTAAAAGGGAGAAAGCAAGTTTCAAGAACTGGGGAATGTTGCTGTAAACATGGTTTCAGTTTTGAATTCATTACCTGAAATATTTTTTATTAACCCTGATACAATGTTGTCCCACTCATGAGGAGGTGACCAAAGGGGCGTTCTGGGACAGGACATCAAGGCCATCCCAGGGTGCATCTAGCACTTTATTACTGAAAGAGTTCTGGGTGGGCTCGGTTCAAGTCTCACCCCAGCACTGGTGAGGCAGGTGGCAGGTTATAGGGCACATGAGTTCTTCAGAGAGAGACAGGAAAAGGGAAAGGGAGAAATCAACCTCTAGGGAGGATGGCCCCAGCTTAATCCCTTCTCCATTTTCCTCTCAGAATTTTAAGCATGCACAAACATGTGCCCAGCATGTTTTTTAAGCTACTGGGTCCAGGATTTGAACTACATAGCTGGTTTTGTGGGATTCAGTTGCCTTAACCTCTTTACTATCTGTGGGCCTCAGCAGGCATGTAATTTGAAGACCACTGGTATAGGTGATAGATTTCAAGGACCCCTACTTTCTCCTGCACATATGTTAAATTTCTTCTTGTTTTGGGACCAGCAGATGGTGAAATGGTTATGTTGCTGGACTCCCACATGGCTGACTGCAGTTGGAGTCCTGAACCCAGAGGCTTGAAATTCATGCCGGATGCATGTGTATACATGGCGAAAATCCTGATAGGAGAAGGAATTGCAGTGTGGTCATCCTCTCTGGGGGTGATTTCTCACTTTCTTTCTCTCTCTGTCTCTTTGATGGGCACACATGCCCTATAGCAAAAAATTCTCTCTTAAAAAATTTCTTTTTGTTTTAATAGACTTTTTGGGTTTTTTTAAAAGAAGTTTTAAGTTCAAAGAAAAGTTTAGCAGAATGTGCAGGGGTTTTCTGTACATCCATTCTCCCCATCTGTGTGTAGCTGCAATTGAGGAACTTAACGTTGATGACTCAGAGTCATAATTGAAGAACAATTGAAGAACCTACAGAATTTCACTGGCTGATTCCTTTGGATTTTCTATATAGGCAATCATGTCATCTGCAAACATTTCTTCTTTCTCAATCTGTAAACTCTTACTTCTTTTTCTTGTCTTATTGCATTAGCTAGGACTTCCAGTACAGGTTGAAAAGCAGTGGTAAGAGGTGACATCCTGGGACCAGCAGTTGGTGTAATGGCTATGTCGCTGGACTTCCATGTAGTTGCGCATGCGCCCTATAGCAAAAACTTCTCCAAAAAAAAAAAAAAGAAAAGAGGTGACATCCTTGCATTGTTCCTGATCTTAGTGGGGAAGCTTTTAATTTTTTTTACCACTGAATATGATGTTTCACCACTAAATGTGATAAGATTTCTTGTAGATATTCTCTTTAAAGTTAATGAAGTTCCCCTCCATTCCTAATTTACTGTCCATTTCTATCATGAATGGGTATTGAATTTTGTCAAATGTTTTTTTCTTTTCCGTTCTTTCTTTTTTCCCCCCTAATCGCTATAGGGCATGTGCACTTGCCAGAGAGAGAGAAAGAGAAAAAGAGGGAAGGTGAAAAAGCACCCCTTGTAGCGGATGACCATGCTGCCCGTGCTGCAGTTCCTTCTCTACTCTCCTTGCAGGATTTTGGGCACACGTCTAGCTTGTTTTTCAAGCTACCAGGTCCGGGACTTAAACCGCACAGTCCGCCATGGGGATCCGGCCACTTTAACTACCATGCCACCAGCTGGCCCTCAAATATTTTTCCTTCTTCTGTTGATATGAGTTCTTCTTTAAACTATTGACATGATAGATTACATTGATTGATATATGATTGTCGAACCAGTCCACATACCCGAGATAAATCCCACTTGAATATGGCATATTATTCTTTTTATACATTGTTGGATTTGATTTGCTAATACTTTGTTGAGGATCTCATATCTGTGTCCATGATCAACGCTGGTCTGTAGTTTTCCTTTTTTCTTTTTATGATGTCCTGTGTCTGGTTTTTGTCTGAGTGTAATGGCATCCTCATAGAATGAGTTAGGAATTATTCTTTCTGCTTCAGTCCTCTGAAAGAGACTAAATAATTGGCTTAATGTCATCCTTAAATATGTGATAGAATTCCCCGGTGAACCTATCTGGGCTTAGTGCCTTCTATTTTAGAAGATAATTCATTATTGAGTCAATTCCTATGTTTATTTGGTATTTATAGATTTGTTAAGAGAGTCTGATTCTTGTTGTGTCTCTTCATATTGTATTTTTGCCTTTAATATGTCTTGTAGCTGGACATGACATACTGTGTAAAAAGAACTGCTACAAATGCCTTCAGTGAAGTGGTGAGGTGTTTGGGGTTGGGAGTGTTCTCTAGTCCTGTGATTAGGTCTCTGGCTTCTGATGCACTCAGGCCTCGACCTGAGCTCCTCAAGAGCTTAGGTTTCTCCCTCAGGTGGGACAGGATGGCTAACAAGGCCTGGAGTTTGGTATAGCTTTTCCTGCAGATCAGCGAGGCTCTGATAAAACCCTAGCAGGTTAGACTCTAGTTAAATAGTTCTCCTGAGGGCAGACTTATTAACTAAAACAGAATGCACTCCCATATACCAGAGCGGTTGTTTATTTCCAAGGGGATTTTTCTTTGATATTCTGTGAAAATCCAGTTGAGCACCAAGAGGTAAACCTTACAAAAGTGCTCCTCTCCCTTCCATGGCCGGGTCCCCCTGGAATTTTTAACTGTCAGATTTGTGCACATTGAATCTCTGGCAGTTTGTCCACTACAGTTTGGCTTCTCTGTCCTGTTTTTTCCTATGCCGGCTAGAGTTTTCAGCTCCTGGGTTTCTGGTCTGGTAATCTTTGTGTCTCAGTATTTGCCTCTTGGTCTCTAATTCTGGAGGCCAACTTGCTCTGTGACCCAACTTTTCTTACAGTGCTAAGAAGAGCTATTGCAGGGCCAGTAGGTGGTGTGGTGGTTAAGGACGTTGGACTCCCACATGGCGGACCATGGTTCAAGTCCCAGACCTGGTGACTTGCTTTCTCACTTTCCCTCTCTCTCTCTTGCTCTGTTCCTCTCCGGTCAAAAATAAATAAATAAATAAATAGTTAAATAAAATAATCTTTTAAAAGCTGTTGCTTTTTGTTTGTTTCGTGTTTTACTTGTTGTTCGGACAGGGTAGGGACTTCTAAGCTTCTTACGTATATGACCGGAAACCAGAAGTCTCCTATATATTTCCCATTTACTTGGATTTTACAAAAAGCATGTGTTATTCTATAACCAGAAATACATAGTAAAGTATTATTAGAATATATAGACACAGGGGCTGGCAGGTGGTGTGGTGGTGGAGACAAGGGACTCCCACACAGCTGACCACAATTCAAGTCCCATGCCTAGTGGTTTGCTTTCCGGTTTGTCCTTTCTCTCTCTGTACGGTCAAATTAAAATGTAATAATAATAAATACAATTAAATAAATATTATATTTTTTAAAAATAAAAGAATACATAGACATAATCAGCTCTCAAAGTAATTTCCTCCCAAACCCAGAGTAGCAAGGGTCTGTCTGCCTTTTGTGCTTCGTCATTCAGCCATGACTAAGTTCTCTTAGCCGAGGCTATGCAGCTCACCCACTCCACTCTTCCCTTCCAGATGAAGCTGAGGAAGAATTCCTGGATCTGCTGGACGCGTTGCTGTCCCATGCCCAAACATACATCCCCCGGCTGGTAAGGATGGAAGCATTCCACCTCAGCTTGTCCCAGAGTGTGGTTCTTCGCCACCACTGGATCCTCCCATTCGTGCAGGCGCTGAAAGACCGCATGGCCTCCTGCCAGGGGTGAGTGCTTCCTTTTCTGCCTCAGCTCTCTTCCTCCAAGGCCCTCCCTGCATCTCTGTCCTGACCTGCTAGGTGGGCATGTGGGTGTGGGACGAGGACCCCAGCAAGCAGGCCAAACCTGAAGGATAGAGCGTGGAACAGTGCTGAGGCTGCCTGCATGCTGTACAGCTCATCCTGTGTGGCCTTGAGCTCAGCCAGGTAAGCTCATGTGCCACAGCCACATACGTTCCTGACACCTCCAGTTCCTCATCTGCTCATAGGAAAAAATCAGCTGTTTTTCCCTACCCCCTCGCTCAGTATTTCCAACACTCCTGTGACCAGATGTGTGGGATTGTTTTTTCATGCTGACTCTCTCCAGCTCTCCAGACACCAACTGGATGTCCAGTGTAACTCAGTTCTGACACTAACAACTCGGAGTTAGCGCAGGCCTCACAGGTCAGGGGCTCAGTCCCACAAGACTGCCTCCACCTCAGATGCCGGCTGCAAGTGTTGGGTCGCATCTTACCCACAACTTCCATCCTGTTTTGCTACTAATCGGAGGTTCCTATGACCTCTCCTCATTGGATCATTTTCTAGAACAGCTTACAGAACTCAGGACAAGTTTACTTACTAGATTACTCGTGCGTTACAAAGGATGTAAAGGATGTCCCAAACGTGACAGAGTGGGCAGTGCACCCCCAATTCTGCTGCTGCAGCTGAGGTCACGCTCTGCTCTTGTTGGCCAAGCCCGGGTCTGGCGCTCACGTCTAGAACAGGAGTAGAGAGCAGTCCCACAACACAAGGTGTCTTAGTCTGCTATCATGTTGCTAAGAAGTTCCTGAGACTGGGTGATTTATAATGAATAGTGGGGCCAGCCAGTGAGTGGTGTGGTGGTTAAGGGGGCTGGATCCCACCATGGCTGACTTCACTGGTCAAGTTCTAGACCTGGTGACTTCAAAAACATGCTGGGCATGTGTGCATACAAGCCCCAAATCCCAAGAGGAGATTGGAGAAGGGACTGTGGCATGGCCATCCCCTCAGGGAGCAACTCCTCACTTACCTGCTCTTTCTCTCTGTGTCTCTGTTTCTCTCTAGTGAGTGCACACACCCTATTGCAAAAAGACTAAACAAACAAAGAATAGTGGTTTGGGGACCAGCTGATGCCATGGTGGTTAAGGCGACTAGATCCCACATGGCCAACTGTCCTGTTTAAGTTCTGGACCCAGTGGCTTGAAAAACACAGTGGGCAATGTATGTGCATGTCCAACATCCCCAGAAGAGAATGGAGGAGAAGGGGTGTAGCGTGGCCTGGGTACCACATAGCATGGATGGTGCTGTGTGTACCTTGGTCTGAGTGATTTTTAAGGTCTTCGCCAGTTCTTTCTCTTTTTTTGTTTTGAAATATTTTATTTAACTTTAGTTATCCAATTATTTAATTTGACCAGAGAGGGACAGAGAGAGAGAGAGAGAAGTGAGAAGGCAAGCCACCAGGTCCGGGACTCGAACAACGGTCGGCCATGTGAGAATCCAGCGCCCTCAACCATCACACCACCTGCTGGCCCCAGTCTTCTCCAGTTCTAATATTTTAGGGTTTTAACTTACCACATGTATAATGGAATGACAATATTAAGTGTAAAATTAAGTAATTGTACTTTCAAACTGGTATTTTAAACATAAACTGTATTTTTCTGCCTTTTCTTTATTCTTTTTCCCCCCCCTAAAATAAGGTTTTCTTCTTCTGAACTTTAGGTTCTTCTTTACTGCCAACCAGGTCAAGATTTATACCAATCAAGAAAAAACCAGGTAGGACCCCCCAGTCACTCCCGGAAGCTTCTTCGATAGAGAGATCAAGGGGGTGCTTTGCTTTGGGAGTCTTTATTCCCAGTTTTCAGTTTGTTTCTTAACCAAGTCTCTGACTGCAAAGGCGGCTGTGCACATCTGAACTTTGTGCTAAGAAAAATAACTCGGCTCAGCCGTGGGGTTGTACACCGCTGAGACACTGCTACTCAGAGGCTGAGGCTGTATGGAAGGCCCAAGTTCAATTCCCAGCCCAATTCAAACAGACCAGGCATGGCCACACACCTGCAGCCACTGGGAGGCTGGAGTGGGAGAATCATGCCTTGGTGAGACTCTGCCCAAAAGCTCTCTCTTTCACTTGAAAGACAAAAAACAATAAACAAGAAAACTAGGAAGTGGGAGCAGTGTGGAGAAGGTGGGACAGAACTAGAGATATAGTGAAAACGCCTGTGAAAGTCAGAAAACCTGATCCTGTCACCGTGGCGACATTTGTCTTGTGTCTTCCCCTCCGTGATCTTCTCTTTCCCCTTGACTCATCCATTGTTGGGCAGTTGTGGGGCTCATGGAAGCTCAAGTTAAAGGTAGCAAGTGTTAGATGAACAGAGAAGAACTGATTATCGAGGCTTCAAAGCACACCTTCCTGTCTGATCCACTCACTGAGTGGCCTGTTCTCAGCACCTCTGAAAGGAAGGCCCCTTCCTTCCTTCCTTCATTCTGCTCTGCACAAATGCATTCAGCACCCACGCATGCCAGGCACTTGCTATGTGCTGACGATTCAGCAGTGAACAGGTACATGCAGGAGAACTGGTAAATCTTCGGAATACTACATCCTGCAGGGGAGGCAGGTAATAAGTAAATGAGCACGTGAATAGTTCGTGTGATATGACAGATAGGAGTGGGTGTCCAGGGGCACCAGGGAGGTGGCACTTGCTGGCCACCTGAGGACAAGGAGCAAGCTGTGGAAGAGCTGCTGCAGGAGGCTTCAAGCAGAGGACATAGCAGGCAAAGTGACTCCGAGGCAGGAAAGAGCTTGGTGTCCTTGCGGAGGGCTGTGAGGTGGAACTGGGGCGTACGGTGAGATGAGTGGGCAGGATTAGCCCAGGCAAGGCCTTTAAGGTCAAGTGAGTGGTCTTGAGGTTGAGTGCAAAGGAAGCGTGGTGGGATCTGAACAGGGGAGAGGCATCGTCTGCTTTGTTTGTGAAGAGTCTGAGTGGACCGCACATGTGACTGCTGAGTGTAGAGAAGAGGTGTAGAGAGCACAGGTGGACACAGACAGTGGAGCTGTCATGGAAGTGAGGGACCAGTGGCAGCCTGGGTTAGGGTTGTGGCAGTGGAAGAACCAAGAGAGTACACATTGGGACACACCAGAGGCAGACTCGGCCGGAACTCCCATGGGGCTGGGTTTATGCAAAGGAGAGGAAGAGTCAGAGTTGATTCCTGGGTTTGGGGTTTGAGCTACTGGCCCCATTTTCTGTGACAGGAAGCACCGGTGAGATGGAGAGTGCACGTTCTGCCTTGCACCCGTTCATTTCTACCTGTTGGGTTTTGCTGTCTGTGGAGCCCCCAGCTAGAATGGTCCAGTATACAGGTCTGCAGGAGAGCTGCCAGCTGGAGACAGACCTGGGGGATGTCACCAGCCTGTGAGGTTAAGTGGGGTGGACTGAGGTCAGCCTGCCGGAGAGCGCAGCTGGAGAAGGGCAGAGGCTACGGATTCTGCACTGAGGCCCTTTTCATTCGGGTTGGGAAGAAGAGAGGGCAGTAGGGAGAGTGGCCCAGGAGGCCAGAAGTGGGCTCAGCTAGGACTGGGAGGTGTGTGGTGCCTTGGAAGCTAAGACAGAAAAGGCTCTGAAGAGAGCCAACCATGTTAGAAACGACTGAGCAGCTGGGAGGACAGAGACATATGCATTGGATTTGGTAACCTGGAGGTCACTGGCATCATGAGCAATGTCTTGTTACTCTGTGATCCCCAGTCCACCCCCCGCCCCCGGCCTTCCAGCCAGCCAGCATCATGGCCACGCACGTGTGCACTTGCACCTAGCACATTTCAGGTCACCTGGGATCTGAACCCTGGTCTTCCACACGGCTCCGGCATTGCAGAGCACTGCCCTATCACTATCACCACCTTGGCTGGGTTGTCACTGGCATCTCTGACAAGAGAACTTCCAGCAAAGAGGGTTAAAGATGGGAGGTGAGGAAGTAGATAGTGAAGGTAGACAAATCATCTTTTAGAGAAGTTTTAGTGAGACAGGATGCAGGTCGGCTGAAGACGTGGGTTCAGAGAAGGGTTTTTAAAGATGAGAGAGGGTCTGTTCTGTGGCACAGTGGTAATGCCCTGCTCAGGAGAAGCTGGATCCCATGAGCAACTGCCGTTTGTTTTTCTGTTTTGTTTGGTTTGATTTTGGTTTGGGGTTTTGCTATAGGGTGTGTGCACTCACCAGGGAGAGACAGAAGTTCTCCCCCATTCTCTCGGGAACTTGGGTACACATGTACACATGTCTAGTGTGATTCTCAAACCGCCAGGTCCAGGACTCGAACCATGAAGCTGGCCATGCGGGATCCAGTACCTTAACCTCCACTCCACCTGCTGGCTCTGCAACAGCAATTTAAATCGCTCCGTGGTCAGCCCGAAACACACTGGGCACAAATTGATGTGCTCAGGACCTACTAGGACTGAGCACTGGAGGAAGAGTTGTGACGTGACCAGACTGCAGAGGGCGCTCCTCTCTCACTCTCACACACACATGCACACGCTCTACCATAAATAAAGAAAACAGTTGTAGGGACCAGCAGTTAGCATAATGGCTATGTCGCTGGACTCCCATATAGTCGATCGCGGTTTGAGTCCCGGACCCAGTGGCTTAAACTCACGCCGGGTGCGTGTGCGTGCGTGCCCAGGATCCCGAGAGGAGAATGGAGGAGAAGGGATTGCAGCATGGCCATCCCCACTGGGGGGTGATTTCTCACTTTCTGTCTCTCTGTCTCTCTCTGTCTGTCTGGCCAGCGCACATGCCCTATAGCAAAAACCTCTCCAAAAAAAAAAGAGAGAGAGAAAAGAAAACAGTTGTAAAAGTGAGAGAGAGACACCGAGAGAGACAGGATGTCTCCTCTTCCCACAGGATGCTTGTGGGAAGAGCAGTGGATGTTAGAGAGCAGTCTTCAAGAGGAGCCCCTGAGCTTGGGGTCAGTGACAGCAGGAGCCACGATGGAGAACAGGGTGTGGAATGCAGAAGCATCTGGGTTTGCAGAGTTGACAGTGGCAAATGGAGGTATTCCTGCGGGGTAGACCCAGGGAGGGAGGGCCCACGTGTGGGCTCCAATCTGGGAAGAGAAGTGCAGAAGTCAGCTCCTGGAGCAGGACAGTGAGCAGACCAGGGAGACAGTGAGCCCTGTCCAGGCGCTAGACTCCCCACCTGGCACATGCTCTGCACTGCTCAGGTGGTCTGCGTGCTCAGGCTTCCTCTCTCATTTCCAGGACCTTTGTTGGACTCGAGGTCACCTCGGGGCATGCCCAGTTCCTGCACCTAGTTTCAGAGGTGGACAGAGTCATGGAGGAATTCGACCTCACCACTTTCTACCAGGTAGTGAACAGTCCTCCCTCCCCCACTGGCCCATGGTTCTACCTGAAATTGGGTGATTTATAAGAACAGAGGTGTATTCACATCATGGCTTAGCAGTCGAAGGGCCCAGGGCAACACTGAATGAGACAAGGCCTTCTTGCAGTAGAAACTCTACAGAGTTATGAGGTGGCACCAGGTGTCATATGGCAATGAGGGACAAGAGCATGGGTATCTTTGTTCAAGTGTCTGCCTCATTCCTTCTCCTTATAAACCAGAATTCAGTCATGAGGGCTCCACCTCTTAATGCATAGTCAGATTTTTGCTACAGGGTGCATGCACTTGTAGGACAGAGAGAGAGAAAGAGAAACCATCCCCTAGGGAAGATGGCCACACCACGTCCCTTCTCCATTCTCCTCTCAGGACTCTGGGCGTGCACACATATGAGCCCAGTGTGCTTTCCAAGCTGCAGGTCTAGGACGTGAATGGAACAGCCAGCCATGTGCAATCCAGCTGCCTAACCACCATGCCACCTAGCTGGCCCTCAGATTAAATTTCTACCTTCTTTTATTTATTTATTTTTTTTTTTGAAGATTTTTGCTGTAGGGCACACGTGCTTGCCAGAGAGACAGAGAATAGAAAAGGAGAAATTATCCCCCAGGGGGAATGGCCATGCCACAGTCCCTTCTCCTCCAGTCTCCTCTTAGGATTTTGGGCGTGCACGCACACACACCTGGTGTGAGTTTCAAGCTACGGGGTCCAGGACTTGAACCACGGTTGACTACATAGAAATGCAGCAATGTAACCATGACACCATCTGTTGGCCCCAGTTTTACCTTCTTTATGTCATTACAGCCAAATGTCATTGTATGATTCTGGGGGGATCACACTCAGACCACAGCGTGCGTGTGTGTCCTCACATGGTAGAGGCAGGCACCAGCTCTCCGGTGTCCCCGCTAACCAGGGCCCTGAGCCCACTCAAGAGAGCTTCACCCTCATGACCTAATGCCTCCCAAAGGCCCCATCTCCAGATACCATCACATCCGGGGTGAGGCCTTTCCATATGAATTTGGAAAGGAGGACATACTCAGTTCATAGCTAGGACCTAACCTGGGTTATTTCATCTGTCTGTGGAGGGTGCTTGGATCAAATCCCAGGGCAGGCCAGGGATCCATCCAGTGAGGATGCCACGGTGCCCTTCAGACCTGATGAGACACCTGGGCCTGCATGGTATCAGGGTGACTGCCCATCTCCCTGCTCTTCCCCCCCAGGACCCTTCCTTCCACGTGAGTCTGGCCTGGTGTGTGGGCGATGCGCGTCTCCAGCTGGAAGGGCAGTGCCTGCAGGAACTACAGGTGAACTTCCGGGGCTCTGAATTTCCAAAACTGTGGGGCAGACATCAGGGATGGGGAGGGTTTGGAGGGGACAAATGGCAGGGCAGGAATCCTAACACCTTACCTTGCTACTCATAGTACGGGCCTGGGACCTGCAGCCTTAGCATCTCCCGGGAGCCTATTAGCAATACAGAGTCTTTGGCCCCACCCCAGACCTAAGAAACCAGAATTGCATTTTAACAGCATCTCTAGGGATGTGTGTGCACATTAAATTTGAGAAGCACTTCCCTAGAACACGGATCTTTGAGGAGGCTGCAGGCTTCACCCGAAGTCCTAGCCTCTTGCCCAGAAGTCAGAGCCTCAGACCTGGCAGCTATAGGAAATAAGTGGAAGGTGCCAGCTGTAATGAACATTCAGCCCCCAGAGCCTAGCACCCACTGCCCTGTCAGTGCCATCGCAGAAGCAGCAACAGCAGCATGCAGCAGTGAGTGGCAGCTCAGAGCTCCGCCTCTGCCAGGGAGGCAGTGGGCACTGGCTGTGCAGGAAGGTGGACCTAGTATCGCTAGCACTTCTGTTTCCCAAGAGAAGCCAGAATTCCAGATTTTTATGTATAATCTCCCAATTCTCAAATGTTGGATTTTTAAACATTTTATAAACCAAACAAAACACACGCAGGCTGGATGCAACTTGGCCCATCATCAAGTGGCACCTTGCTCTCGGCCTGACCATGCTGGAGGCAGCAAGGCACTCTGGGTTCCAGCTCCAGCAGACGCCCACCCTAGTTCTGTTGGTTTCTGTGGCCCAAGGCCAGATCTGAACACCACAGCCTTATCTGAAAAGTTGGGATGATAGGACCAGCCCACAAGATTGCAGAGGTGATCAGACACAAGCCCGGAGCCCACACGGTCCTCCATCTCCCTCAGCGTTGCCCAGCCTCTGAAGGAGTTGGGTAGGCCGGTTTCGTGTCCAGCGCCCTCTGGGTCCCAGGTTCTCCTTACTGTGACTGTTCTCTCCCCGCTGCTGGCTTAAGGATATCGTGGATGGGTTTGAAGACTCCGAGATGCTGCTGCGCATGCACGCCGACCAGGTTCGCTGCAAGTCTGGGAACAAGTTCTTCTTCATGCCTTTGAAGTGAGCACCAGAGGCCTCCCTTGTCCAGGTCCCTCTGCAGGCCAGGAAGAGATGGAGGAGCCTGCAAAAATCGATGGGGATGCCCCCAGCCTAGGAGCTAGGAGGCCCCAGGCACGCCTTCAGCCTGGCATGCCATGTAGCCACTCCTTGTCCCTGTGGGTGCCTTCACTCTCCAGGCCCTGCTGGGTTCCAGGTTGAGTGCTGCTGTGTTGTGGTCATTCCCAGAAATCGCCGGAAGAGGGCAGCCTTATTCTTGCTCTATCATTATGCAGGAAGAAATATTGGGGTCACCAGGCAAGCCCACCCACACTGAGCCAGAAGCCCCACTGTACTATGCTAATGAATAGCCACCCCCTCCCACTTCCCCCTAAGCAGTTTGTATTCTGATGCGTTGGCCTCAGACCAGGGTTGTTTAAGTCATCATGCCCTGGCTCTCCCTGGTCAAACCAGGACAGGGAGTGTTTCAGTGGGTCTGTCACCCTCCCTCCTTTAAGCGTGTCCCTCTTATCTATTTACTTTAAATCTCGCCCCTTCCTGTGCCAGCAGCGGCCACTTCAGGGCCTCAGCACAGGGTGCTAATTTGTGGCTTAGCATCCATTTTTCTCCATTTCTTCCTCCCACTCAGCCCCAGCCAGGTGCCTGGGGAGGCTTGAGCAGATGTTTCACTTCTGTCTGCCCAGTGGCCGAAAGCCAGGCCTCCAACGCTGTGGCCTCTGGCTTCCCCATTGGCGGTTCCCAAAGAAGCAGAGAGGCGCCTTCCCCCAAACTTCTGCGTGCCTCCTGCTGCTGGGGCCTGCAGGGCATCCCTGGCTTCCCAAGGGGAACCGACTTGGAGGGAGGGAGGGAGGCAGAGAGGGAGGGCATGGGATTTCTACTGTTGCCTCAGCCCTTGCCAAGGCAAGGGACCAGTCCTCTGCAGTTGTCACCCAGATTTTTGGTGATGGATGAAGAAATATTTTTAGATTACTGTTTTAATTTGCATTAAACAAATAAAAATGACATTTAAAATTTTTAATGTCGTTTTGGACTGCTTCTATTCCACAAGGTGAAAGATGACTTTGCATGGAGCCAGCAGGCAGCTTGGTGATTAAGGGACTGGACTCCCACATGGTGAATCTTGGGTTGAGTCCCGGACCTGAAGGCTTGAAAATTACCCCACCAGGCAAGAGAATGGAAGAGAAGGGATTGACGAGTGGCCATCTCCCCTGGGGAGTGCTTTCTCACTTTCTCTGTCACTCTTGGCAAGCATACATGCCTTATGACAAAAACCTAAAATAAAAAACAGGGAACCAGCAGTTGACGTAATGGCTATGTCACTGGACTCTCATGTAGTCAACCACAGTTCAAGTCCCAGACCCCCAGTGACTTAAACTCAAACTGGGCACGTGTGCATGCATGCCCAAGATCCCGAGAGGAGAATGAAGGAGAAGGGATTGTCATGTGGCCATCCGCCCTGGAGGGTGAGTTCTCGCCTTCTGTCTCTCTGTCTTTCTGGTGAGTGCATGTGCCCTATAGCAAAAATCTGCCCCCCCCAAAAAAAAGACTTTTCTCTACTCCCCCAACCCCCCACTGTGCTTCACAGTTTAGGAGGACTCTTGAGAGTCTCTTTCATGACTTCCGAAGGTGATCTTGAGAGGCCTCGGGAAGATAAGGGTAGGGTTACCTAGCCTGCCAGTGTTGTACACATTGGCTGCAAACCAGGGCTTGGCACTGGGGCTCACTACACTCCTCCCCGCTGTTCCTCATCGGCTTAAGGACAGGTAGACCTTACACCACTATTGTGCTAAGTCCTTTTTTTTTTTTTTTTTTTTTTTGAGAGGTTTTGCTATAGGGCGTGAGCGCTCCCAGAAAGACACAAAATAAGAAATCACTCCCCAGGGGGGATGGCCACACTACAATCCCTTCTCCATTCTTCTCTCGGGATTTTGGGCACGCACACACAGGCACCCGTCATGAGTTTAAACCACTGGGTCTGGGACTCGAACCGCAGTCGACTACATCACACCAACTGTTGGTCCCAGTCCTTTCTTTTTCTTAAGAGAGATTTTTACTATAGGACGTGTGTTCATGCAAAGACAGACACAAAACAAGAAATCACTCCCCAGGGGGGATGGCCACACCGCAATCCCTTCTCCATTCTCCTCTCGGGATCCTGGGCATGCACGCACACGTGCCTGGCCTGAGTTTAAGCCACCAGGTCTGGGACTCAAACTGTGGTCAACTACATGAGAGTCCAGCCACATAACCATTACGCCATCTGTTGGTCCTGCTAGGTCCTTTCTAAGACCTCATCTATTCCTCCCAGTAACCCCTCTGAAAAGTATACAGGGCAGGAATGTTTATTCAACTTTTCCAGAGAACAGGTTGAGTGACTCATCTGGGATGGAGTGAGAAATCAGAGATGAGGGCCTGGCTGAAGTCCCGCTCTGGTGCAGCCCTGCATGCCCATGGTTGGCCTGGGCCCCAGTTCGCCTTTTTAGACTCTCCCTCACCTTTTAGGCTCTCGCTGTACCCCTGCAGCCCTGCCTTTCTCAGAGCAGGAGCAGATTCTCAGCTGCTCACAGAAAGACCCGAGACACCACACCGTCTTATCCCCACACCCAGCATATTGATCTGGTTAGCTGTGGATTCTTCAGGCTTTTCAGGCCATGCTGGAGAGGGAGAGGAAGCCAGGCATGTGGCTCCCTGCAGCTCGCACTTACACCTGTTCTGTGCCATTCCCTGACTGGGCTTGTGGGCGAATCAGATTTGGTCTAACCTCTGGGGGCTCACAATGTGAGGAGTGAGGACTGGAGGAGCAAGCAGGGTGCATGGAGAAGAATCCTTGTCCCCAGCCATGCAAAACTTGGGCACTTACTGTTCTTTTTTTTCTTTTCTTTTTTTTTTTTTTTTTTTTTTGAGAGAGAGAGAGACTTTTGCTATAGGGCACATGCATTCAATGGAGAGTTAGAGACAGACAGAAAGGGAGAAATTACCCCCCAGGAGGGATGGCCATGCTACAATCCATTCTCCTCTCAGAAATTTGGACATGCATGTGCACACCCCCAGCATGAGTTTTAAGTCACCAGGTCCAGGACTCGAACTGTGGTCAACCACATGAAAGTCCAGCCACATAACCATGATGCCATCTGCTGGTCCTGTACTCGTTGTTCTTGGGAAGGGCCAATGTGCTATTGGACTTCCATTAATCAGATAGGGAAGGCAGAGCTGCTCCCCTGAGGCAGAATGTGGCTTGGGAGCCCGCGTCTGTGCAGAGGATGGAATTAGAGTGCGGCGACTTTGGAGAGATGGGCCAAGATCAATACTGGGCTCTTCAATGGGGAGTGGAAGGTGGCGATGGAGGAAGTAGGAGACCGAGGGGGAGGAGGCTGGCGGCAGGGCCTTGGCGGGCATCCAGACACGGAGTGTGCCTGCGGAGGCCAGCGGTGCAGAAGCCGCTGGGGCTCTTCCATAAGAGGAGATGTGCTCCAGGAACCCAGGAGACAGCTCCTGAGACAGGAGGGAAGACTGGCCAGGTCCAGCCCTCGGCGCGCTGGCGCACGGTGCAGAAACGCTCTTGACGGGGATTTTATCACACGGGAGAGAACACAAAATCAACACATCTGGCCTGGGTGTCCTCAGATGCCTCTGCGGGGCAGGGAACGCTCATCTCACGGCCTGCTTGGCCCACTTCCACCTGGCACTCTCAGCTCTCTCCAACGCCTCTCCAGACCACCCCAGCTTTGTTTCCAAGGGAGAGGGAAATTACCTCGGCTTGTTTGTTGATTCCTTGTCTTGGCTCCCGGAGTCCCAAGGACTGCCTCACCTTTAAACAGACCTTGGTGCACTACCGAGGGGCCACTGAAGGTGGGGGGCCCTCTGGGGGAGGGGATGTCTTGGGCTTAGTTCCAGCCCCCAGCAACATACCTTCACTGAACAAGAAACCTTGGCTACTGAGTTCGAAACCCCCTTTTGCAAATGAGGAAACAAACCCGAAGAGAGTAACTTGCTCACGATTGCCCAGTACCTTAGCACTGGGGCAGGAACCAGTGGCCTGGCTTCTCATCCAGAGCAGTCTGTACAACCCCCACAGCTCATCAGGGTCTCTAGATGCAACTGCACTGTGAAACTCCACGTTTGGTCGTAATTCAAAAGGACTCCCGGGAAGACCCTTTCTAGATGAAAGGATATTGGTGCAATCCTCGGGCATCACCCTTGGCCTATACAGATTGGCTGCAAACCAGGGCTTGGCGTGTGGGGTTCACCCCCTGCATTCCTTGTCAGCGTAAGCACCGGAGTGATAGAGGGGGGTGCAGGTGATGGGAGAGCAGGTGTTCACGCATCTCAGTTCTACTGAGTCCCCTTGGCCTTGGGTGCTAGCCAGACTGGATAGAAACTGGGGTAGGCAGAGGCACAAACCCACCTTGCACAAGGCGCCTGTAGGAACCAGAACCAATCTTAGGGAGCTCTAAGACCTGGCTGCAGGGATGCCATTTTCTTAAGGCAGAATTGACCCCAAGAAAGGAATCTCCAGGCTTATCTGACTACAGGCTTCTGAAAATGTTGCCCACTCTTCCTGGGCACTCTTTACCAGGTAGCCCCATAAGCCCAAACTATTTTTTTTTTTGAGGGGGAGATTTTTTGCTATAGTGCACGTGTGCTTGCCAGAGAGACAGAAAGATGGAGAGTGAGAAATCACCCCCCAGAGGAGATGGCCACACTGCAATCCCTTCTTCTCCATACTCCTCTCAGGACTTTGGATGCACGCATACGTGCGTACACACGCACACACACACACACACACACGCACGCCTGGCATGGCTTTCAATCCTCCTGACCAGGGACTCAAACCACAGTCAAACACGTGGGAGTCCAGCAATGTAACCATTATGTCATCTGCTGGTCCACAAACTCTTTAATGATTTTGGGGGGGCCATAGGGCAATTGCACTTGCTGGGGAGACACAGAGAGAGCCCGAAAGTGAGAAATCACTCCCCAGAGGGATGGCCATGCTGCAATCCCTTCTCCCTTCTCCTCTGGAATCTCTGGGCATGCGCATGCATACACAGTGTGCTTTTTTAAGCCACCAGGTCGAGGACTCAAACTGCAGTCAACCCTGTGGGATCCAGCTGCCTACTCACCTTGCCCCCTGGCTGGCCCCCCACATTTTTCTTTTAAAACTGACTGATCGGGAATACATATTGTAAGAAAAGGTAGTACGTTCAATTAAACAGGGACAAGCATTGTCCATTTCTGAAGACAAGTGCACATTTTCCAAAAGCAAATTTCCAAGTACAGAATTGGGAAACCCATTTCCCAGATGGGAGACCCCCCAGGAGAAGTTAGTAGGTGGAAAAGGGTGACTGCCCTTACCTAATCTTCCAAACTCAGGCTTCTTTTCCCCTCTCTGCTGAGCACCAGGTAGCGTCCACCACCGGTGCTCTCCCCCACCACCAGGTAGGTTGGTTCAAACAGGCCATGTCTAAGGCGCGCCGCCAGGTCCTCCAACTTCCAGGAGGGGAGGCCAGCTCTAGGACTGGGGCTACTCTAGAGAAAACGCCCACAGGTAAAGAAAGCGAGATATCCGGGTCCGAAGAGGAGAGGTAAGGACTCTGCCCACCTGCACCGCTGCCCTCACCTCCTAACCCCGCCCGCCAGTCCGCAGCGCCGGAGCTTCCCTCTTCTACACCCGCAGTTCCAGCAGACCTTTGACCTAGGTCCCCTATCCCTTGCCTCCAGCAATTACCCTGACCCGATCTCAAGCTGCTTCCGGAGTAGAAGTAAATCTTGCACTTTCAGCTTCACTGCAGGGTTTGTCGGCCGCCTGGAGTCTTGTCTCGTCACATTGTTGCATGTCATTTGCAAAGAATAGTGTCCAAATGGTGGCTAATGGTGTCCTAATTCCTGCTTCGATGCCCTGTGCCAGGTCAGGAACAGAAGCTTTACCTAACTCTTATCACAAACAGCCCCAAGTTCCAGATAAGGGCAAGGAGGCTCGGAAAGGTTCAATAATTTGCCCAAGTCCAAACTGTAGGTAAGTGGAGAAGGTAGGGCTAGAACCGTGACGCTCCCAAACCTTACCTGTCCTCCGCACCGCGCCCTGGAGGCGCCCAACCCCTCACTTTTGCAGCTGAGGAAAGTTACTGAAGGGCCAAAGTTATTGTGGGGATTTTGATGAGGCCTTGGAACACCGAAATTCAAATCTTAATTATTTTAGCGAAAAACAGGACATTTGGGTCCCTACTTTCAAGCCTCCATCTCGCCCAGCTTTGCTTAATATCCCACCCACCCGCCAGGTGGAAAGAGGAGGAGTCTTCCTTCCTCCCCCGCAGGGAGACCCCGCCTTCCTTACACCCTCCCTGGGCTGGGGATCGCTTTGGAGGTCACCCCCGTCCCCCAGAAGCTGGGATGGGAGTGACATGGGGCGGGCTGGAATGGTTTCCTGCCGTTAGAGAAGAATGAAAGGGCCACCCACCTGCTGGCACCTGCTACCAGGAAGCCTCGGGCTGGGGTACCGCCCCTGACCCCCTCTCGGGTCCGCGCGCTGGGAGCACACTGGCCCTTTAAGACGGCGGCAGCCGCGGTGAGCGGGAGGAGGGCTGGGAGCGCCCGGAGCCGCGCCGAACTCGCAGGGGGACGTCGGACGCCCGCTCCCTGGCTGGCTCCCTTCGTCCCACGGGCTCCCTGCGTCTCCTCCCGGGACTGCGTGGGGACCCAGGCCCGGCTGGGTGCGGCGGCGAGCACGGTCCGCCGGCGGGAGGCGCGCGCTCTGGGCAGCGCCCGGCCCCGGGCATGGACAGAGGGAGCTGGGCGCGCCGGGGGCGCCGCGGGACCGGGCGGCC